TTTTGGATTTCTTATTTTATCAACTTTTACGCAATGTGTTCATCAGTCCTTTGCTAAAATTAGGAGGCAATTTTTTTTTATCATCTCCACAGTTTCCGTCCTCCCTATATAATCACTTCCCTATATAATGACGGCATTACTTTTAACTTCTTATTGGCTACTTTTCTAACACAAAATAATTTTTTAAAAAAAATTTGTATATTTTTTTTTTTAAGAGGGGGGAGAGAGGCTTGCTGTGTTGCCCAGGCTGGACTCAACTCCTGGGCTCAAGCGATCCTCCTGCCTCGGCCTCCTGAGTAGCTGGGACTACAGGTGCCTGCCCCCGTGCCAGCTAAACTTGAATTACTTGTTGCATTAGATATACACAGGCCTTCTTATAAGGCCTGGCTGAGGAACCTGCTCATAAAGCTATATTTTAAAAATATATGTCGCTCACATCTGTAATCCCAGCGCTTTGGGAGGTAAAGGCGGAAGGATCCCTTGAGCCCAGGAGTTCCAGACTACAGTGAGCTATGATCTCATCACTGCACTCCAGCCTGGGTGACAGAGAGAGACCCTGTCTCGAAATAAATAAAAAATAAAATAAGATTTCTGTATTTAAATATTAATTATTTTATCTAAATTATACATATGGCTTTCAAATAGAAAAAAAATAACATGGGTGAATCCTTTATAATCTAGAATTGGAGAGGTCTAATTATGACTCAAAACAAGAAGCAATGCAAGATTAAAAAAATTCAACCTCCTAAAAATAAAACTCTCCTGCATGGCAAAAAGTGTAAGAAGCAAATGAAAAGCTGAAAGAATATTATTTGCACATCATATCATAGAGAAAGGATTAACTTCCTTAAAAATACAAAAAAGATCTTAAGAAAAAATAACCCCACCTGTTAGGGAAAATGGGCAAAATATAGGAATAGACAATTCACAGAAAAAGTACAAATAACCTTAAATATGTGGAAAAAAAATTGATGCCTTATCCATCAATGCTACAGTATCTTTACCATGCCTAACAAAATATTTACACGCACGCACACACACACACATTCTGAACTATTTGGCTAAAATGGCATGTTTGAAATCTGTCTTAATAAATTTCAACAACAATGTGGGGACTATCAATAAAATATGACTGACAAAATGTATCAATGATTGACTCTGGGTGGATACATGAAGGCTTATGATACTATCCTTATTATTTGTGAACATTTGGATATTGGCATAGTAAAGGCTTTAAATGAAGGGAACTAGGTGAATAAACTTATTTAATAAAATTCACTCAATGGAGTACTATGCAGCCATAAATAAGGAATGAGCAAGCTCTAGGAACCTACAAGATTCATTCAATAAAAAAAAGCAAGCCATAGAACAGTATATACAGTATATCTTTTGCTTACAAAATAAATGTGTACGTTTATACACATATTGAATATGCACATATATTTGCAAAAAGAAACACTGGAAGGACAAACGAGAAAGTAATACATATGGCTACCTGTGTGGGGAGGATGGAGGCATAGTGGGAAGAAACAGGGTGGAAGGGAAGATAACAAAAGCAAGACTTCTGTGTATTTCTTCTTATGCCAGTCTGAATTTTGAACTGTGTAACTGTTTTACCTATTTAAAAATGCATTAAATCAAAAAGGAAAGATAAGTAAATCCAACAAGTAAATTCAATAAGTAAATCCTAAAATGAAAACAAAATACCTCAGTTGGATATCAAATTACTAATGCAAACAAATACTTTCAAGTGACTTTTGAATACAGTACTCTGTACATATATAAAAGCATAAACAAAACTGTAAAAATTTTACTCAGTATTTCTATTAGCAGTAGTAATACAGATTATAATTTTTAAAAACTATATTTTGTACATGGTAGAACAAAGTAAAAAATGTCAATATTTCATACTAAGAAACCAGGATTTTCAGTATGAGGGGAAAGAGATATCCTCCAAAGAAGAATACACTGTGGTAATAATTTGAATTAATATTATTTGAAGTCATGATTTTAGAAAATACATTTCCTAGCTCTGTCCACTGAAACAGCTAGACACAATGACTCCCCAGTAGCAATGAGCACATCTATTACCCAGTTTGGTTTCGAAATATTGTTCCTCACTAAAAGAAACAGAGGTTCCTTGGAGAGATGGTCGATTCCAAAACTGGGCAGGAAAAGCACAAGATAAGCCTCAGAAACATCAGAAAACAGGGATGGGTTCAAAACTAATAGGGGCACATCAAAAACACACAGAAAGAACTGAAGGGGCTAAAAACAATCTGAGTAAAAAATCACACCTATGGTAATTGATTAGGAAAACCCATGTCCCTACAGAAAGAGGGAAAACTAGTTTTTGGAGGTGACTATTACAACTCACTACTCTGAGAATTGGTGATGAAAGGGGAAGAATTAAACATTTATCATGCCTTTTTTTCAGGGGAATTTTCCCAACTGATGAGTGAAAGCACTTCCTTAAAAAAAAAAAATGCCAGCAAATGTAAAAAAGGAAGACAAAATTAGAAAATCAGCATTTTGCAGCACCCAATGAATTAACTGATTAAGGCAAGTATCATTATAGGTTGTTAGGGAAAGGGATATTCAATTTGATGACAAAATATCACCCCACGGAGCATTTGCTAGGTGCAAAGGGAAAAAAATGTACCTTTACAATGGGAAGATAACAAAATGACTGAATTAAGCATCACTAGCAGAGGAATAACCTGAATTATACATTCCTGAAGTAATTCACTGTGAAGTACACAACATCTTTCTTAAAATGCTTAATCTGAATCTCTTCTAGTGACTACTTGACATCAGGTACAACAGAGAAACAAGTTAAACTACACAACAAGGAAACAATTACAAATGCAGAAAGTGGGCTACCCCTACAACTGCTCTAGTTCAAAAAGTCAATACACAGGGGAAGAGGTGAGGGGACTGACCAACAGAGACTGAGGAGCTATAACCAAGTGCAGTGCATGGACCTCCACTGGATATGAGTGCAAAATGGCAGGCTAAAGGCTTTTGGGGACAATGGAAGGACTTAACTTTTTTGCACATGATTTCCTCACTCAGGATGGGCTGGGTTATGCCACAGTAACAAAGAGCCTAAAATCTCAGTAGCTTAAAACAAAGGTTTATTTCTCACTCCGACTAGTACAGCTATGTTTCAGAAGTGTGATGCTCCCTACACCAGTCGGTCTTTGTACATGAGTAATTCTGTATGTCTTTAGAACAAGAGACATGTTTACCAATCATGGTGGGTGGTTCAGGGCAGTGTTTCACAAAGTGTGAATCCCTGACCTTTTGCATCACGATCTCCAAAATATTGCTAAATGCAAATGCTTTTAATTCCAGGGTCCCAGCCCATGCCCGCTGAATCTGAAACTTAAGACTAGGTTTTCAGAATCTACTACTAGCTTCTGAAAGTTGATTTCAATTAAGCATTCCACTATTTTATAAAAGTTGCTGTGCAAAAGGATGTTTAACTTTCCTAAAAATAACTGCAGTAGCAATAATATTGTTTATTCAAATGGCAGGGATTTGTATTTTGTATTTTCTTATAAGGTCTCAAGTACTGCTTTTAAAAAAAAGGAAAAAAGGGGTTGGGGTTAAAAAAAGATATCAAGTACAAAGGTACATATACTCTTTTTTTGAGATAATTATTCTACATTCCAAGCTTTCTTTTGGGGAAAAGTTCCTAAAGCTTACAGTTATATGTATATTTACATAGGCTCATTTTCTTTAATCAAGGAATGTTAATATCCCTTGGACATCTACATAGAAAAGTCAACAAAATAACTAAAACTCAGCTAATGAATATCTATTAAGTTCACAACTATTCTGTATAGTTTTGTAGATGATAAGCATTTAATCCAACTTAGAATGCCAACTGGAAATTTTTCAGTACTCTAAAGCTGACCTTCTACAAAAAAATTTTCATAAAAGCCTAGACTGACACCCCCTCTCACGCCCAGCTCTGCTACTCCACCAAATAAATGGAATTTTTAAAAAAGTGGTCCCTGAGCTACTTCTAGCCTAGCTGACTTGTTCAATACACTCCCGACAAAATTATCCTCTTTGCAGCCATTTTCTTCTTCATTCCACCTTGAACGGATATACTCACTGGACCCTGACTGCCACTGACATGTTGGCAAGCTGTGAACTAAAATAAAATCATAAAGCTTGCCCCCACCAGAGGACTGAATGGACTCCCTCTTGGCCAAGATGATACCCTAAAACTAAATTGGCTGCCACACAGGTCAGACCTGTCTCATCATGCCCTCCTCCCTTCTTGGAGATATCCTTTGTAACCCATTAACAGGCCTAAGGGTATGCAAGACAAACCTGCAGGTCCTCAGTTTACACAACAAATATATGTCAGGTGGCTTGTCTGTGATTAACAGACCTCCTTTTCTAAAACATTCCAAGGCTTTAGACAAAGTTTTAAACCAATTACAAGTCAAAGAATCTTTAAACCCACCTATAACCTGCAAGCCTCCTGCCCCCCATGGCCCACCTTTTCGGGCCAATGCAATGTATGCCTCCCATGTATTGATTTACAACTTTACCTGTAACCCCTGACTCCCTGAAATGTATAAAACCAAACTGTAACCCAACCACAGCGGGTCTACTTGCTCCAGACTTCTTGGGTGTGGCTCTGGGTCATGGTCCTCAAATTTGGCTCAGAATAAATCTCTTTTAAATTATTTTACAGAGTTTGGCTTCTTTTCTATTGACAAAGCACATAATAAAATACTGATTGTAACATCAGCAAGTGACAGGAGCAAAACAAGGAAAATTTAATGACATTATTAACTGTATGTGCTATGTCTTTTAGCCCACCATGCCTATTTTAAATATTTTAGAAATTATGTTGTAACAGGTATTATTTATCAACAATCTTTTGGAAAAAGAACAGCTCAACTCTTAAACTGTTATGTTAGTGTAATATGCAGGTCCACTTGCCTAGGTGAGAAAATTTTAAAAACAACCACAACTTGATCCCATTTGTTTTTTCTAAAAGAAAAACATTCAAAGTAAAACATGAACATTTAATTACCTTTAAATAATATATGAAATAATTTACATGCTATACATTCCCAAACACCATGAACAGAAATCCAATTTTATAAGACATATACACAATCTGCTTTTTGCCAACATATACTCTGTAGGTCACTTAGGATGTTAACTGATTTCTCAGTCCATGTATTAGCATATAAACACACATACATATGCCTAGAGTTGAAGATTAAGATAATAAACCAAAGAGTTGAATACAAGAAGTCTGCCATGGAAGATTCTAAAACCACAATCAATGACTAGAACACCAAGGCACAAAAGCTTCCCTTTGTGGTCACAGAGATTAAGTTTCATTCCCAGTGCTTAAATATGGAAATAGGATTGGTTAATCAACATACTGTATTTTATGGTGCATTTCTGTTACCATTTAAAAACAAGCATTTTTCTTATGACATAATGTATTACATAAAAGCATTAGAAAAATAAACAGGATTAGATACGGTCTCATACAATAAAGCTTTTTTTTTTTTCATTTGAAAAAGATATTTATGTTTAAAATTAATATAAGATATAACAGAGAAAAGCATGAGGGATCCTATGCAGATTTCCTAGTTCCCCTGAATCGTACCTCATGCCACCATGTTACTTAAATTTTCAATTTTAAAGCCAGCTGAGTGATACTGTCAATTGCAAGAGATATATATACATATATAGTAACTTAAAGATGTGTACTAGTACACAGAATAAACAGTTAATACAACATGGCAAATGAAATCCTTCCCAGAGTTTAAGTTGCTTTTGTTAAATGTTAACTTTGTACTAGGCTCTCCTTAATTTTCCTTTTTTTCTTCTTACTTAACAGTTTACCCAAAAGTTTCTGGGTACACTAAAAGTTAGATATTCAAGGAATAGCAATTCATTAAGAGATAAGGCAGTTTAAAAATATACATATATATGTAGTATTCATTGTTTCTAGGAACAGTTTTAGACCTTTAGTTCTTTAAATTTACATAGTATCACAGGAATAAAGCCAACCACAAAATAAAAATTAATGGAATGCAGTAATCCATATATAAAAGATAATAAAATGTGCTTATACATAAGAAATCAATAATCTCAGCTATAAAGAATAAATCATCAAATGTAGCACTAAACAAATTCAATCAGAATGAAACTTTCAGTGTCATTAATTTTGAATATGGAAGTGGGGCTGGCTAACCTGTTTATATGGGAGTTTAGTGTAGCATGCAACTCCTGCAGCAATGAGAGTGCAATTCTTTACAAACAAGACTGACCAAAAGAAAAACAAACCAAAAACCTTGTCGTAGGCTATAAAACTTAAGGGTAAAAAATAAACTAGAATTTAAGGCTTTCTTAGAAATATTTTTTATGGCACTTCAACATTAAACATCATTAAAAGGCAAAATATGTAAATATTCATAGTTACAGTTACATAACTGAAAGTACATGCCATGTCAATTATTAAGGAACCATTCTGTAAAGTTTTATTTTCTCTAAGTTAAATTATACTTAAGGAGGCTATTGGTGTTTGGCTGAAATTAACATATAAATCATATAGAAATGTCAATTCACTAGTATATAGTGCAAATTGTTTTGAATAAATCCACCAAATACCATTCATTTCTTACAGAACTGAATGTCATTCCTTGCTAGAAATGCAATTAAGCTGACATTTCTCTCACAAGAGCAGTTATTATCCTTTCTTCAACTATTAGCCTACTATTAAACCCTAGGATCATTATTAGACAGATTCCTTTTGGTCACGCGCATAGACCATCTTCACAATAATCCATTTCTTGCATTACAGTCAGTCCAGAAAACACCCCACGAATCTAACAAGTCATTCTTGCCACTCCATACTCTAAGCTGACCACAGCAGGCTCTGGTTTGGAAAACTCTTCTGCATATTCACTGTACCGATTATCTGCTGGGCTGCTGCCCTCTATAGTTCGAAGAGCATCATTCACAGGTAGCAGTGTCTGCTCTTTAAAACACAGGGAAGTTTTGAGGGTAGGTGATTCTGGACAAACAGAATGTAACAATTCCTTGGTGAGGACGCCATCTGTTTGCTTATTTTTGCGTTGCTTAATTTTCTAGAACAAATACAAATTTGAAAAATAATCACTAATCACACATAATACGTGTTAAATGAAAAAAGACATGCTTTTGCAAATGTTCTGTCATAGAATATAAAATCTCAAAAAATTAATTCAATCTAATGCACATGACATGTTGAAAATCCCAATTGTTTATAATTTTTGCAGTGGAAAATGATTATTTTTAATATTTACTAAACAAATAATCCAGTCAGACTTGACTACAGAAGATCACTAGGCCTTCACATTTGAAAAGGACATACATTACCTAGAAACAAGTAAACAAGTAAAAAACAAGTGAAATTTTATAATAAAAAAGTATATGAAACATTCACCCTGAAATCACAACTATGTAACAATCACAAACTTATTTAGTTAAAGGTCTTATCTTATTGACCATAGAGATTTTCTTACATGGTTTTCCTATAATGGTTTGTTAGGTGAAAATAACAGGCTTTAGAATACAATAGAACTTTCTTTCTTTTTTTTAACAGAATAGATTTAAAAAGCATTCTTTGGCAGAGTATTATATTCTCCAAATTCATGGACTGATCTCCAGATAATCTTGTGTTACACTTTGGGCTTGCCTCTCTTGAATTTAGTCAAGCAAACATTACTTCTTTATGAGATAGGTGGCTAAGACATAGATGACTAAGGGGCAATCCTGCCTGAGAGGCAGACAAGACAGTCTTACTGAGTAATAACTGCCTGGGATTTTAAAAATACATATGTACTTACTGATCCTTTTTGCTTATATATGATGGCAGAGAAAAGATTATAGGAAAATCTTAGGGTGGAGAGGGATTTCTTAAACAAGACACACACAAAAAGCATAAAACAAAGATTTATCAAAATTTGACTACATGAAATTTCTAAACATCTATATAAAGCATACCATAAATAAAGTGGTAAAGACAAGAATAGGCTGGACAAAGCCATTTGCAACATATATACAGCTAACAAAGAATTGGTGTCTGATATATAAAGAACTCTTACAAATCAGTAAGAAAGAGGCAAATGCACCAACAGAAAAATGAGCAAAGGTCTGAAACAGTCCATTCACAGAAAAGGAAAATCATTGGTGAACAAACATATGGAAAGTCACTCATCTTCATTTGTAATCATGGAAGTCCAAAACTGAAAACAATTTCAATACTGAATGGACAGACTGTGATATATTCATATAATAGAAAGTTATATAATGGTTATTAATAAAGTAAGTGAATTAAAGCTGCATGTATCAACGCTGAGAAATTTCAAAACAATGTTGAACAAAATAAAGCATATAAACAGTAAGAAAACTTTTATATAGTTTTAAAACAGGCAGTTTCTTAAGCTGGATGTATCCATTGTTTATTGCCCTTTATATCTCATACAAATACTACAGTCTTTGGTATGTTTTCAATATATAATCAAAGTAATATTTTAGATCAATAAAAACAGTATGGTAAATTATTAATATTTGTGGACACAAACATATGCAGAAGTATAATACATACATAAGAATGAGTAACACCAAATTCAGCACAGTGAATCTGCCTACCTCAAAATGGATGGGGGAATCCCAGATAAGAGTATGCAGGGCCTTTGAATATATTTATTACAATGTTTTATGTCTTAAAAATAAGAAAGACCTTGAGCACATATAATAAATGTTAAAATCTCACAAAGGTACATGGCAGGTACACAGATACTTAATATGTTTATCTCTACACTATGCTACATACTTCAAGTATTTTAATACATTCTAAAATATAGAGAAAGCGATTCAAACTATTCAAAGTAGAGTAAACCTGACTTTGAAACAACTATGGGAAGCTATTAGTTTAATAGCAAATTAAACTAACTTAATATTCCATATTTTACATTAAATAGTTGAGAATACTTACAGATTCTAGATCTTGAATATCTTTCTGTAACTGTTTATTTTGCTCATTCATATTCATAATTATATTAAATACAGACTGCCTAGGATGCAATGTTCGATCAAATTGGTGGTACATATTTCTCCAAAACCTTTATGACAAAAAAAAAAGTTTCAATAAATTGTATTAAAAAAAAATCGAATATAAATACTTCAATGAGGCCAACTTACTTAAAATTGAAAGATACTGTATTTGGCTCCAAAACTGTAAATCTCTGAGATTTGGAACTATAGAGAGGGTTTAAGTACTTCTTCTGGTCTTCCAAAAGAAATGGCCACAGAGAGTACGTCTTCTCCTTCAACCTTAATGCAATGAGAAAAACATAAAAATCTCTCCTATAGATGCAAAGAATTAATGCTAATATTCATTTTTATAAATCGGGCAATTACTTCCAAAGTAGATTTAAGTTTTAGTTTTTTCTTCTATTCACAGTCTAACCTCTTGTCTCAGAATTCTGTATTCTCTTTTCTCCTCCATTCATAATTATGTAATAAATAAAATGACATTTCTTGAACACAGATATATACTATTGTCTCTCACAAATATACACTTTAAGGGATTCCTCTCAACTTATACAATTTCAAAAACTTGGTCTCTGATTCAGCTATTTCAAATCAACACACACACAGAATAAGACACTAATGTAGCTCTCTGGCTTTATTCTCCTAACCCCTATCTGGGCTGTAGTGGCAAGAATTATGGAGCAGGAACACATAAATATGAGTGGGTACAAAAAGGGAAACAGGCAAACTCAGATGTTTTAATGCCAATTATACTGCAAAGTTAAGAGTAGGTGGGTAAAGGGCAGAATGGTTATAGATAGGACATTTACCAATAACATGACACAGATAGGGATCCATGAGGAAAGTGGAAAATCTTCCATGATTTTCCACTTTCCAAGATGACCTATAGGTGTGTTCTTAAGAACTACTAGGAAATACCCACTTTTATTTCCATCTTCCCACTTCTGAGAATGTTTGACCCTAATTAAGATAAACACTTTCCCTAAAATAGCTCTATACTCCCAGAAAAGAGTTACCTGCTCCAAATTATTAATATAATGAACTATTGTGAAATACTGTAGCAAACAGCTTAAGATTTAATTTCTTAGATTTGTTCATCTCTGCCATATTCTATTTACTTGTTCTTCCCCGTACATATCTTTAGAATTTTCCACATGCTCTCAGTTCTGCCATCAACTCTGTTTGGAGTGTGAGCATCTGATTATCTTCAAACTACTACCAGATTTACTTCTCTAATATGTCCCTAGAATGTTCAAGAATATATAATAGCTCTTTACCACCTACTGTAAGAAATCTAAACCCAGAAGCCCAACCTAAAAAATATATATATAGGACCTCTCACATTATTCTAGAAATCTCCCTTGCATCAAAATTTAAGCCCCAAACCCCTATCCCCAAAGACTGATTAGGAAATAACAGGTGAACGAGGGATAGACACACTGCAGCCAACATACGTAGATTAATTTTCGCAAAAAAACTGTTTAGAAATGTGAGGAGAGCTATAAGGCTCCATCTTACCTTAAAACAAACCAACAGTTTTAAGTCTTTTACCACATTTTAAAACTAGTGACCAATACTTTCTAGGAAATTAAATAATGCAAAGATTTCTCTGTCCTAAAATATATAAGCAGACTGAAAGGAGGATGAGGGGAGCTTCTATGATGCTGGCAACATTTCTTGTTCTGGGTGCTGGTTACACAGGTGCGTGAGTTTAGCGAGATTTACTGAGCTTCGCACTTATGATGTATGTCCCTTTCTGAATGTATGCTATACTTCAAGACACATTTAAAAATGTATTTTTCACAGTAAAAATAACCTTATTTTTAGGGTTATAAAAGAAAAAAAATGTATTTTTGCTATTACCTTGAGAGGTGAGGGACATTAGGAGTATTCTTAGCTTCAGAAATGTAGATAATAAAACCTTTACAATAAAATTCAGTTCTATTTCATATTGTCAAGATATTTTATTATGTTCAGCCATGACTTATGTTAGACCTCAGCTAAGTAAGGGAAAAAAGAGCCTATTTTAACCAAATCATCTTACTTGAGTTCTTCTCTTTCCTTCTGGCAATTTCCAAGAAAGTTTCCAAATTGGCATGAATGAATATGTTCATGGATCTGAAGAAGAAATTCTTCATTGAATTCAAAGGCTTGTGGAAACTGTTCCGTCAAATGCCACACACATTCCAAGAACTGAGTAAACACTGGTGAGACTTCCTTTGGGTCACCATCCAAATGGCCACACCTAACCCCCCCAGAAAGTACAAGCTTTTAAAAATGCCTCTGAAAGAAGTTCATTGTTTAGGTATTATTAAACTTAAACATACATACAAAACATAATCCTAAAACACTGTTACATTAGCACAAAAAAACTGTAATTTTTTAAATTTAAACTACTTATACCTATGAGTTGTTTAACCACAATTTTAAAAGATCTGTTATCTTCTAAATACTATAATTCAATCAAAAAGGAAGATAACAAATAGCCGTGAAAGGTATTAGAATTGAAAGTAAGACAAAAAAATTAAATCAGTCTTCATATGAAATATAATAAAAAACCATAGCACTTTTGCCTCCCATCACACATGCAAGTTCATAAAGAACAGAAGCATTTTGGCACTCTAAGCTAGTTTACTCATTTTACAAAATATAAAAATGTATAACTGTGACTTACCTCTCTGAAAATTTATGTCCAAAAGAGATCCAATCTTTTTCTATTAAAACCTTAATGAGAAAAAGTAAAATCCACTTTATAACTACTTTCAATTTTTTTGTTTAGAATAGATTAAATTCTATTAGCTTAAAAACAGCATTTACTATATACACTTTTAATTTACAGTTGTGAACAAAACAAAACCAAAAAAACTACAGCCAGATGACTTGGATTGGAGATGGCATTAAAAATGAGTAAAAATACATAAAAAGAAATAGTTTTAAATTTGTGACTTAAATTATTTTGGTTAAATTTACCAAATTTTAAGTGAAAAATGAACATTATAAAGTAGTATTACATGTAAATTTTTGTACATATGAAGATGATATATCATAGAAAAAAGTAAGGAAAATGTAAACCAAATGCTAAACAAAGGCTAACCCTGGGTGGTAGACTGGGGTGAATGTTTTAAACCTTTTGGTTTACTTGTATGTTACTTATTTAATACTTTTGTCAAGAAAAAATGATAAATGACCAATGAAATGATAAAAAGACCAATGAAAACAGTAGTTTATATTCAAATTCAAATGTTAGGATTTATCCTCTTGAATGGACTGTCTTTCTTTATCTGCATTCCTGTCACAACTTCTCTACTTACCAAATCCACTAAAATAATAGATTCCTAACTTTTTCAGTCTAATCTAAACCTATCTTCTTAGTTTGTAATTTAATATACTTTATAATTTCATTATATAATCACCAAACATATTCTTTTCAAAGCACTAAAATTCCCAGTTTCAGCTTCTCTGGTTTTGTCTTAAACCTCCCTGACGTCGGAAGAAGGCTCTATACCATAATGGCTAAAGATGCAAGTTCTGGAGTGCATGCATAGGCTCAACTCCTGGCTTCACAGGTCTATACCTCTGTGACCTTGGGCAAGTGATTTTTGGGCTAGAGCCACAGATTTTATTCTGGGCTCTCTGCCATTCTTCCACACAAAACCATCTAAAACTTAACTCAATTTATCTTTCTTACTGATCCACTGCTTATTTCAGTGAAGAGCAGGACAGCAGCACCATCCATCTAATTCAGAAACCTGGAAATCACCCGAGAAGAGGACTCCCTCTCTTCAACCCCACGTGCAACCCATGATCAATTCTTACGGAATCTGCTTTCTTAACCTCCCTGGAACCCATCACCTTCTCCTCCACTTGTGTTACCACCTTCATTCTGGCCCTCTTTCCTCTCTTGAGTTACTGCAACAGGTTCTACACTGGCCTCTTAGCCTCTGATTCCCACTCTAAGACATCTTCAAGACACCAAACAATCTTTTTAAAAAGCAGATCTAATCAAATCACTGTTTCCTTTGTTTAAAGCTCTTTACTCTGGGAGGCCAAGGCGGGGGGACTGCTCAAGGTCAGGAGTTTGAAACCAGTCTGAGCAAGAGCAAGACCCCGTCTCTACTAAAAATAGAAAGAAATTAATTGGCCAACTAAAACTATATAGGAAAAAATTAGCCGGACATGGTGGCGCATGCCTGTAGTCCCAGCTACTTGGGAGGCTGAGGCAGAAGGATTGCTTGAGCCCAAGAGTTTGAGGTTGCTATGAGCTAGGCTGACACCATGGCACTCTAGCCCGGGCAATAGAATGAAATGCTCAAAAAAAAAAAAAAAAAAAAAAAAAAAAAAGCTCTTTAATGGCTCTCACTAGTAGCCCAAAAGGGGTAAGTCCAATTCAAGCCTTCTCTTCTCAGTGCACCCCACCCCCAACTATATTCATCTGCACCCAAGCTCTCTACTCTGATACTCACCCTGGACTTCATCCATCACACATTATCTGCAGGCCCCTAAGGAGGCTATACTTTAGTTCATGCTGTTTCTGTTGCCTGGGAAGCTCTAACATAGTCCATGGCCATTTATTACATGATTTCATTTGCATGATAATACACAAATAAAGCCAAATACGTCTTGTTGCACTTATCTTACACGCTCAAGGTAAGCTAAATGTTATTTTCTTACTAGCAGCACTCCCATTTGGCCTGTCCCAGATTTAATACATTAGCAGCACAAAATAATGCTGCTGAAATGGGACTAGTAATTTTAAATCCTCCCTTGTTTTAAGATGGCACTGTATTTAGTAATTCTAAACTAATGAAAACTTTCTAATATCTCTTTGTTTACTTTACTCACCACGAGTTAAGATGTAAAGTTTGAAAACATAAGTTAATCTGATATGTTTAAAAGCAAACAAACAAAAAACAGGTGATTTATCTTAACAAAGCAGAAAATCTGTTCAACTAAAAATTTAATCTTCAGATATAAAACATGCCTAACATGTTATTACACTTAACAAACAAAGGTGTTTTAAATAGAAAGTTTCCTCTAGAATATAATTTTTAAGTACTCCTATTTGTGCCTTGTTTATTATTTATATTTACTAGATAAAAATGAGACAATATTGAATATTCCCATTGTACCATTTTAGGAAAAAGAAAAACTTTAAATCTAAAGTTTTCTAACTCAAGGTTTCCCAACCTCAGCAGCAGTGACATTACAGGCCAGATGATTCTTTGCTGTGTGCTGCCCTGTGCACTATAGGATGCTGAACAATATCCCAGTCCTCCACCAGCTCACCATTTCTGTTAGTGCAAAACTGTCTCCTAGCATTGCCAAATGTCCTCTGGGGGGACAAAATTACTTCTACTTAAGAACCACTGTTTTAACTGAATAAATCCTTACCATGAATCCTTTGATTGTCCTATAGTAGGAATCCAATAAAAGAGAACCAAGGGAACAAACCTGGGAAGTCCTATCCCAACCATCAGAACAATGTACCAACACACTTGCATTTTCAACCATTATTGCCTGAAAAGAAAGATCACATACTTAGTTAGGTTTTAGTAGAATATCTTTTAGGTAAATCAATAAGTCTACCTACTCAAAAATCATACTAGGAGGCATTGCATTAAAAAGAAGAGCTATGCCTGCAATGATAATGTCACGGCATAATCTCCAAAAAACAAAACACAACAACACAGAGAAAGCAAAAAAAAAAAAAGGAGATAAAAATGCTGCTTTAAAGTACTTGGTAATTTCTTTTTAAGTCTTTACATTAAGTGCTACACAATATTTTAAAGTTCAGATTAAAATGAAGCTCAATAAATCAGTATATAATAATAAAAGTTATCTAATTGGAATAGATAACAGCCTCCAAGAAAATAAATCCACTCCTTCCCAGCCATGATGAACCCCAAAACCAAATATGAGAGATAATGAATTACTTTGGCCAAAAAGATTGCAGCGTCCATAACAGCTTTGATATGGCGAAGCCATCCCGAACTCTCTAAACCAGAGTAGAAATCATTGACAGAAAGGCCTTTGGTACCACTGACTAAAAGAGGGGGAAAAAATTGCAATTAGAATGGGTCTAAAGTCTCCATTTGTCTTTTTCAAGATCTTTCTAGGTAAGTGATTGAGAAAGAAGAGGACACAATAAATATGCAAGACTCTTTATAAATGAAAAGATGCTATCAGAAGCTCAATAATGGATTTTGGGAAATATTTTTCTGTTATTCCTTTTGCTTAAAAAAATGCTTCACTTTTTAAAAAAACACAGTATAAGCATTTAACTAAAAATAGTCCTATATTTTAATTTTTTAAATTCTATATCATAACTGAAAATATATCTTAATATTTAAATAAAACATTACCATAAATTCATCTTCACTGTACTGACTACTCAGAATATCTAACAATAGCAGTCTTTTAAAACCATTAGAATTATACCATCTGATTACAGTAGACACTACCCATATGTGGCTATTGAACATTTAAAATGTGGCTTGTCCAAACTGAGATGCGTTATAAGCATAACATGCATACCTGACTTCTAAGACTTGATGAAACAAAAAGTAAAATATCTCATTACCAATTTTTTATATTGATTACATATTAAAATAACATTTTTAGTATATTAAGTAAATTAAAATTAATTTCACTTGTTTCTTTTTACTTTTTTAAACATAACTATTAGGAAATTCTAAATTACATGTGACTAACATTAGATTTCCACTGGACAAAGCTGCCTAAAAAGTAAGAAATAATTATACCTTCCAATAATTTCTGAAGGCTGGACCTCATGACATGAATATTTTCAATTCCAACAAACTGAAATCTAATATTAGAATAGTTGTCTTCATTTTCATAACCTTTTCCAGCTGCTCTGTTGGCCATTGCATTCAGCTAAAATTAAAAATTTTAGAAATTTAGAGACAAATTACTTTTCTCTTTTAAATTAATTTACCAAAGTGTCATGAAAACATTAAATAAGCCATATTTCAACTAGGAGAGAGTTTAAAGAACTGAGTAAGCTACCATTTTTCATAAATAAAAATGTCACATGTGTTGTTAATACTAAAAAAGGAAACTATAAAGTAATGTTGCTATATAATGGAAAGGTCCAGACAAGAAGTCTCTATAAGTTCGTGAAACGAATTCATTTATATTTTTGGTCAGTTTTCCATATGCTTATAATATCTCAAAATTAAAAAGAAATGTCTCCTATTTAAATCCTAAATAATTCAGAGATAAGCAGAGCTGGGGAGGTTTTATATTACAGAATGAACCTATAAGATTCACTTTAGAACAAGCCTAGAGCACCTGATCATTCAAAAGCCACAGGGACATGAAAATCAGATCTGAAATATGCTTCAGATTACTTGAAGTCTTCTATATTAGAGATTACTGGAGGCCCATATACCACCTAATAGGGGCATATAATCTGCTATCCTGGCTAAAAATAAACTGGTCTCTAGGGAGAAAACAGAGTAACCATAGACCCATGGTCTTTAGTTATAACATCAAAATGTGATCAGAGGTTCCCTTAGAATTTGGCCTGCTTAATTCTTTCAGACTAGGATTTCGTATAGTCTGTTACTACAATTTACTAAAAATTCTTATGGACTTGGATGAAACAGAACCTAAATTGCAAGAAAAAGTAGCTTTTCATTCAGTGAAATGGGGCCCCAAGTTGGTAACAAGTACAGTTAAATTGTATCTACTGACTCACTGGTTATTCAGCACCTAAAGTAAAATTTACAGTTAGATACTAAAAACATTTTCACATTATTACTATTTGATTTTAAGTTTAACTAGTAAAGCAATCAAAGGAAGATATATTTTATGTATAGAAGATGATTATACACATAAGAGCTATTGGGCCCTGAGAAACAAAATACCATCAGACTTCATCTTCAAAAAGTCTCGTGTTACAATCACCTTTTATATCTAACATTATCAAAATAGAGTTCTAAACCATTAATCAACTCATATTATATACAGGGAAGGAGAACAAATTTTTTCTCATAGGAGACATCACTAACACTCTTAACTCCTAAGAGAAATCTTTCATTTTTAACAAAATAAAAGATTATCAAGTTATTTCTATGTTTTAAATATTTCTTAATTTACTCAGATTAATCTTATCTTCTGTTTTCTTCATTATCTTTTGTGAGATTGCATAATGATGAGAATTACTTCTAAAACAGCTACCATTCCTTTCACAAAGCTGCCTAAAATTGCTTGTGTTCTATATCGCTCACTCGCTTTTTCTCATCGCTTTCTCTTATTTTCTCATCATTCCAGATTTTTGAAGAAATCCTCACTATAATTCTGCCAATGTCCTTTTGTGTAGCCCACCAGCTCTGCATGCGATGCTATAATAAAAATTAAAAGTAATGTTAGCTATTACCACTGAGGATTTTAATTACTTTAGTTTCAGGATCCTATACGAATTGGTTGTTTAGCTGTGTTAATAAAAAGAGATTCTGATATGTCTTAACGAAAAAAATTTAGCCATATACCACAATTGTCTAACAGAACAACTTCTGTTCACTATTTACAATTCTTGGCTGGGCACGGTGGCCCACACCTCAATCCACACCGGAGGCACGCGTGATTCATTGACTCAGATTCGAGACCACCCGAGCAAGAAGTAGACCTGTCTACTAAAAAACAACAGAACAGCGGACACACTAAAAATATATTAAATAAAACAGAAGGCAATCCTGTATCCCAGCTACGAGCTAGCAAGATTTCTTGAGCCCAGATTCGAGTTGCCTGTGAGCTAGGCTGAGCCACAGCTCCCTAGAGGGCAACCAGTATAGACCTCATCTCCAAAAAAATGAAAAAAATAATAATGCTTATTCAAGTTCCAACCACTATTTATTATTATTATGACTAATTTCATGGAGCCATATTTAATACAAATTTGCCAATTAAAAAATCACAAAAAAAAGATTTAATTCACAACACACACTATTGAGTCTCCAAACATCAACGTCATTTTTTACACCAAATCACAAAAGAAGACATACCAACAAATTCCTCAATATATAAAATTCACCTTTCCTAAATTTTATATAGAATCAGCAAACATAAAAACACACCGGTTACTAGAAAGTCTTCTAATGGTATCCTTAAATAAAGATGATTTCCTTGATCATTAACCTCATAATTAAAACAGGATTAAATATTAAATATAGGCTAATTTATTAATCCACTATTAAAGTAATAAAGATGATTAAACTAACAGATGGTACTGTATATAAGAACAACCTTGTCCTGGTCTATGACATACATAACGATACTGATGCTTTACGAGCTGAAGCAAATGTCATCCTCCAGCACCTGACTGAATCCACATGGCGACACCCACGACAACCGCACCTAATTTTAAAAAGACAGAAAACCAATTATACAAGACTAAAATAATAACTTAAAAGGTTAATAAAAAAAAAAAGGTTAAATCAAATATACAATTAGAAGCATAACTTAAATCTCTTCATACCTTGATAATTCCAAGTCCCAATAATTCCTCTCTCCCTAATAATGCCCTTTACAGGTTTGACTTTGTCCTAGGAACAACACCCATGAATTCTATCAAGTAAATTACATAAGAATGCATTCAGCAGGCGCAATGCTCTCCACACTTAATCCTACACTCTAGTAGCCGGTGCAATCTCGAGTTAGATTCGAAACCAGCCGAAGCAAGCACAACGACCCTGTCCACATAAAAATGAAGTAAATAGGTTGGCAACAATATATATATAAAATTAGCCCAGGCAATGTAACATGCCTATAAGTCCCCAACCTACTCAAGCTGACAGAAGATCATTGAACCCAGGATTAGTGCTGGACAGCCACGCCACGGCACTCACCCGGGCACTCACAGTGAACCTTCTCCAAAAAAAAAAAAAAAAAAAAAAATCTCAATTCCGTTTTATTAATACGAGATACTTTCACCAATTCAAGTAAGGGCTCAGTCAATACATACAGAATAAGAACTTAATGTAACATTTAAAGACTTGAAGGACATTCAAGACTTTAAACCAACTAGAAATGTAATCATTACCAAAGAAGCATAAAAAGAAAAATATTCATTCAAATGATTAAAACATATTCAATATAAGATAGTAAAAATATCTGTAAGCTGTAAGGTGAATACTGTTCTCAAAGTCTAAAACTCAAAAGATTTAGAACCATATACTTTTTCTCCAGTGGAAAAAAAGTAAATATAAATTCACACGTTTCCATGTTTTAAATTCACACACAAAATAAAACTATGAACATTTAATAAAAATAGAAGAAAATGAGGGTTACCTTATTAAATTCTTCTCATACCTACTTTCTGCTTTTTGTTAAATTGGGCACTGAATATCTATTTTCAGCCCAGCTTTTCAATAAACAATGTACATAAACAAGGGTGTATCAACAGAGGCCATAACTAGGTAACCTCACTATGACTCAGTTATAGAAAGCAGATTAGAAACTTCTGTTTAAACTCTTACCTTTTACCTTTGTTCCCTTCTAAAACCCATGTAAGGTTCTAATGAAGTTAAAATGTATAAAACCACAAGAACAAAGAGAATGGGAAAAAAGACAACAGTAGAGATGTCAATAACATTTGTGGTGATTATAGCAGATTGGCAAGTAATAAGCAGGGCAAAGAAAGCTACCCACTCCCTTAAGTCAGTAAGAAGGTATTTTGTGTAGCAAAGTCCCACACAGACTCAGAAGCTGGTACCTCCAAAGGCCTGTGCAGGTGCATGACTGAAAAACAGGAGAAATGGTTGAATGTCTGTGTAAGGACTAAGACTCCCAGATACTCCCTTATTCCAAAGACAAAGTTTGTTCTATGAAGAGGACCAACCTGACTCTGGATGACAGACATGGCTGTGGGTGAGGTGAAGGTCTATACCCACAAAACCCAGGACCATTAAGGAAAGCCTACATAACAAAATGTAAGATCCTCCCATCCCTTTTCCCACACCTGCATCACAGCCAGACACTATACACACTGGGACCAAAATTAGAGGATTCCCCTTTAAGGAAACCAACTTATACAACAGAAAGAATTCAAAAATATAAACCACACATGCACATAAACTTCTAAGTGGCTTAAATATGAGAAATCAACCAAGAATCAGAAATATGAAAGACAAAAAAAAATAAACCGAAAACAATGGGGAAAAAAAATAATTGATGTGGGAAGCACAAGAATTCTTTTTAAAAAATCCTTAACATCCTCAGAGAACTAAAACATCACATCTAAGAAAACTGTGTAAAAAGATCAGAAAATAGAAAAGAACTCTTACATATTAAAAACACTATAGCGAAAATAAAAGATCCAAGACATAGACTGGAGATATGGTTGAGGAAATCTTCCAAAAATAGAAAGAAATGAAAAATAGGGGAGAAAGTTTAAAAAAAAAAAAAATATGAAGGTTTAGACTATAAAGCCCAATTGTCAAATAATAGAAGTTAAAAAAAAAAATCAGGCCAGACGTGGTGGCACGTGCTTGTAGTCCCAGCTACAAGAGAGGCTGAGGTAGGAGGATCACTTGAGCCCAGGAGTTCAAGGCTGCAGAGAGCTATGATCACACCACTGTACTCCAGCCTGGGCAACAGAGCAAGACTCTGGTTTAAAAAAAAAAAAAAGAAAAGAAAAAAAAATGTAAACTAACTAAATAAAAAGTATAAAGGAAATTAATGAGAGAAATACAGAAGGAAATTCCCACAACTGAGACCTGAGTTTCTAAATGAAATTTAAAAAGACAAGCCAAGGAATATCAGTGTGAAATTTCAAAACACTGGGAAAAAAGATGATTCTAAAAGCTCCCAGAGAAAAAAATCAGGTCACAAAGCATTGGGAGTCAGAAAATGCACAAAACTCTTCAACTTACTTGTTGTGAGATATAAGGAAAGTGATTTACCCTCTTTGAACTTCAATTTTCCCACTTGGAAGTTATAGGTAATTAGTAAAGCCTACCTTACAAAGTTATGAAAGCATACATATAAAGCATCTAACATACTGTACCTCCTGGACTTCTGTAGTAGGCTATAAAGGTAAATTCTACTGTAAAAAGCAACCCGATTACAGCATCTCTCTATAAAGAGGCCTCCTCTATTTCTTCTTGTTGCAAAATCCTTTTGATTTGAGTTACTATTAAAATGGAAGCCTGAAATATCCTTGGTTCTCTCCCTTCTCTTAATGGTATTCTTATCAAAACTGTCCAGTTTCCCCAAATACAAATAAGATCAAAAGAGAACCATAGGAAAGGAAGAACCACCTACCTGTTCACTAATCCTATTATTTTCAAGTCATCACTGGAAGGGACAGAAGATGATGACAGGAAGTATGAAAGTTTCTATATTTCAGTATAGTCTTACTTTAAAATTTCAAAAATGTAATTAAACAAAAAGCCAGCACTTCTCTATTGGCAACCTTTTAATGTAAAAAAGAGTGTTCTTTCGGATACTTAAACCTGAAGAATGGCCACACTATACTTATAAAATTAAAGGAGAAGCTTCCTACCTCCTTATCTTGATGATAGTAGGAAAGAACCGGGAATCTTCCCTTGCTCCGGAACTTGGAACTACCAACAATTATTGGTTTGCTTGCTATCTGGGGAACATAAAGTTCTCTGGGATAAGTTTCACAAATCTGTAAATACAAAATAAAACATAACCATTCTACTCACAGTTTAAACCTGCCTTTAAAAACCTTTAAGCCTTGTCAAATGCAAGAGCAGCACACTGCAGTACATAGACAGCTTGCTGCTCTGACTCTCTCCGACCTTCTGGTGCTCTCATTCTCTTAATTTCTTCACAAGGTTGCTAAGTTACCTTGTATTCTCGGTTGGCATCAGACAACTGCCAGTGTGAGTTTGGCACTCCCATCCTCTTATATTCCTCAGCAAGGTCAATGAGTTGCCAGCCTTGTAGTCGTTCTGAATCATTTTGTTTGGGATTATAAGAAAATGCATACAGATCTTCATATTTTGCTACAGAATACAAAATTTAAAATGTTAAAATGTAATTTATAAGACTTAATACACTACAAATAAAGTAATTTTTCAGTTTTTTCCTTCATTTTCTCTTTAAAATCTTCAAAGACAGGGCTAATACCTGAACATACTTAAACTTAATATTTTTTTCTAAGTTCTTTGATGCAAATGATTACACATAAAGGTATATACATAGTGATCTGAGATTCAATTTATGTCATCAGCAAAAGTTAAGGTAATACATAATATAGCTAGAATTACATGTTAAATCTTCTGTTGCATATTTTTTTCTTAAAAGTAAAATTTTAAAGACAAATAGATCCTTCCTACTCACCACTTTTCCCAAATGAGAAGTTAAATGGAAAGACTAATGCTGTAATGAAAAACTAAAGAGGGCATATAGAACATGAACATGCATTATACACTCCTTTAGGACAGTGTTGACCTAAAACAGCAATTGCTGCACAGAGCTCAGTAGAATACTTACTTCTGAACAATGATAAGCCCTGGAGTCACAGAACCATCTTTACTGAAAGCTGTAGCTTAACTTGGGACAAAAGGATGTTAAAGGCTGCAATTCAGTTTGCTCAACTGAAAACCAACTCAACATATAATTCAAGTCATGTGGGGGAAGGAAGCCTCCAGATCTCCAGGGCATAAGTACTGATAAGATTCCTCTTTAGGGCCTATATCCCTCTGAACCCTGCCTTTGCTAGCAATAGACTTTAAAAATATTAATGTAAATCTATGGTTTCTTAAGTCTATACTATAAATTATAAATGCTTTATCTTTTACTCACTATAAACCTTTCTTTGGACACCATTTTCTAAACTCAGATCAGCACTTTCTAATTATTTCTAGGTCAATTTTGGGGGAATAGAGGGCATAAGAATCTTATTGTCAGAGTAACTTAAAGTATAAAATAACAATAATGAGATATTAATAAAGTATCTTAAATAACCCATCTCAAATTGAGCATGAAAGTTTGGTCTCCAAGAACAATACCTTGTTTTGACAGTTGTAGCAAAGAGTTATAAATATCATGGCAATCTCTTTCTCTGGGAACAATGAAATGCACAATTCTGAAGTTCTTGCACTGAATCACAAGCGGGCATCCTGCAGTAGTCAAAGCAAGTTTCTCCACTGAGGCAATGTGGTGGTGCAATATCTACAGCATGAATAATTATACAAGTCAATAATACAGAAAGCACTAAATATTTATTGTCTTTCGGAGTGTACAGTGTTAGGAATGCCCTCCTCAAATAAAGTTGCAAATGCTATATACTACTCACTCAAACTACAGTTTTTAAATGACTGAATGCCCAAGTCAGGAACATGAGTGTCACTCCACTCCTTCCTCCATCACCCCACATACTCAATACCTCATCAGACTGCAAGAACTGCATCTCTGTGTGTGATATTGGTACAGTGTAATCAATATACCAAAAGAATAGAAGACAGAGCTCAAAAGCAGACCCTCGCATTCATGTAAGCTTTATTTATGACAGAGCTGGTACTAAGATCAATGGAATAAAAGTCAATAAATTTTGCCAGTTGTCTGCAGGAAAAAAATAAAACTGAATCCTTATGTCACATCATACACCAAAATATATTTCCCAGATTTATTAACAACTTTATACATGGAGGACAAACATAAGCTTTAAGAATAAAATATAGGAGAATCTTTATGACCATGACATAGGAAAGGTTTTCTTAAGTCACAAAAAGCACAAGCACATACCACAAGAGAAGCACAAACCATAAAAGAAAAAAGCACAAACCATAAGAGAAAAAAGTGAAAAATCTATAACATTAAAAATTTAAACTTTAATTAAAAGACATATATATTCAAAAGCAGACAAAAAACCAACCACACACTGAGAAAAGCTACCTATGAGACACAGATATCTGTGTGTCAGATAATTATGTGTGCTATATAAGACAAAGTAATAAAACCCAGAACTCTTATAAAATCAATTAAGGACAAACAATCCAATAGAAAAAGAAAAGAAAACATAAAGGCCAAAATATCTGAAAAGATAATTTCTTTATAATTGGCAAATTAACATTACAATTGCACATCCACCAGATAAGCAAAAATTTTGAAGTTGATAATACCAATGTTGCTGAAGATGTAGAACAATGTGTAACACTTTACTGAGGAAAATAACTTGGAACAACCATTTTAAAGAGGTGACAAACTTACTAAGGTTAAATATGTGCTTATCCAAGACCCAATAATTTTACTCCCCAGCAAATATCCCAGAGAAACTCTGGCACATATACAGAAAGAAACGTATAAGACATTTGTATATGTATATGTGTATTTTCAAGTATACTTAAAGGTATACTTGAGTACATATAAAAGTATACTTGAAAATGTATATAGATATTTTATATCCATATACAAGATGTTAGTACATGCATATGTATACTACAACATTTATACTAGGAAAAAACAAATTAAACATCTTAACTGCAATTTGGTATAAACATATTATGGAATACACCAAATAATCAATTTGACCTGTTAACCTATACATATATTATTTAGATTTTTAAAAATTAAAGGGAATAAATAGGCATTTTACAATTATTTATGAGATAAAAGAGTCTGGTATTCTACAAAAGAATTCAACATTACACATAACATCACTGATTTATAAGGGAGGGCAGGAGTGATTTGGTAACAAAAAAGTTTTTGTTGAGATAGGTAACCAATGATTAAAAATTCTGTTATACATGTTCAAAATAAAACACAGGGACAGACCAAGTCCATTATTATCAACAGGGTAAATAGTACAGCTGTGGTTCTCCTTACCCAGGTTTCTTTTTGATGAGAGTCTATAAATAACAGATGTGTGGCTGTAAGATACAGCGTTCCTGTTAATGACTTATTGTTGGTACTGAATCGATCAAGTAATTTTACTTGTTCAACCTAAAAGAAAAAAGATGTTGTCATTTCAAAAGTAGTGCAAATTCTTTTTCTGTTATCTCAAGACTTATATGCACCCAATTTCTATTTTTTCTTCCTTCTGTCCAAAAACCTAAGAGCTCATTTAATACTTGGTATTAAATTTCATATATCCTTTTGGGGAATATATAAGCCATAAACAACACAGGTATTATCTACAATTATAAGTGTAACCAAAAGAAAAGAACACTATTTAAAAAAAAAACAAAACAGTAACATATGTTAAGGGAAGCAAGAAAGAGAGCTGCATGGTATGAGTAAGCAAAAACATTTTTCATACCCAAGAGTCAACATTTTTATCTAAAGTTGAAAAAAATCAAGTAATAAGTATATAAGGTTATTATCTAGAGTTCTAGAAGTAAACTACCAGAGAATTTAAATCAGGAAAAACAGTAGAATTGTTGTAAACTCCAACTTAGTTTCTATAGTCTCCTCACCACCCCCCAGAGCCACAACAATTGTTTTGTGTCCAGCTCCGGCCTTTTAATCACACTCTCCTCCCTCCCTAAAGTGGTGTCATCTGCTCAGATAATGTTAAGCATTATTTAAGGTTCACTGATGCCGTGCCTCCTAACATGAATCTTCAGAAAATTAATTTATTACTTATGTCTTGGCTTTGTATTCCTTTGTAGCTGTGAATTTCCTGGTACAGATTCTGTCTTATGCTTCTGCCTCCTCTAAAGCCTGAGGCAGTGAGGTACATAGTATGCCCTTTTTTATATATATATTTTTATCTTTTTTCTTTATTTTATTATAACTAAAAATATATAGAGAAAAATTTAGCCGGGCATGGTGGCACATGCCTGTAGTCCCAGCTACTTGGGAAGCTGAGGCAGAAAGATTGCTTGAGCCCAGGAGTTAGAGGTTGCTGCAAGGTAGGCTGATGCCACTCCACTTCTAGCCCGGGCAACAGAGTGAAACTGTTTCAAAAAAAAAAAAAAGTTCAAATGGAGAAAGGAAGAAGGATGCACATGGAGTTTAAAAAGCCAATTCAATATTCCAATGTGCTCTACAGTTAGGAAAAAAACCTGTTTTTCTAATATAAATGTTGAAAACAAAGATCAACAAACTTGTCTTCACTAGTGGGAATATAGAGAAAATACAGAATTCTCAATAGAGGAGATGTAACATTTATATCTCAGAGAAAAACAGCATAGCTTTTTATCTGATGAAAAAGAAATGTGTTGAGGCAGAGAATTCATGCTGTAGATAAAAGGATACAAATAGGGGTTTTAGAGCAAAGTAGTCTATGACCTGATAAGGCTTATAAAATCATTCCAGTGTCAATGTAGAGAATATGCTGAGTTGGGTAAAGGTAACCAAGTTAGAGGCTAATGAAATAATCTAGGGGTGACTGGGAGAGATACTAGGTTCTGAAAGAGAGGAAACCCATCTTCAGATAACAGCAAAACTGATAAGAGAAGGAAGAAAGGAGAAATAGAGGTTTCTTAAGGATTTTAAGCTTGTCAGACTGGTTACCATTCACTAAAATAGGGTATAGAGAAGAAAAAGTAAATTTGAGAGAAAAGAAAGTTTATCTTGAATGTAATAAATTGAAGATTATTCATTATCGTAGCAAATACAAATTAAAATCAAGAAAATAGCAGAAAACCATACTTCAATAAGGCAACCTCCTTATGGATGTGACAGAGAGTAAAATTAATCTGAAACTATTACAAAACATTTATTTAGTTCTTTAAAGTTCTGGAGGAAATAAGGAGAATTTCCAAGAAAATACACTGATTATTCTGCTTTCTATGGCAAATTCCTCCCCACCAAAAGGGAAATAAAATATTTTTCTTTGTTAAAATCACTAGCATACAAATTTCAAACTCAATTTCCAAAAACCAACTCCTCCTTTATCTTTTTCCTTTTCACCAAAGAACCAAGAGCACTTTACAGATGTTGCTATAGATTTTCCCCAGTCTTTTTTTGGAAATGTTGTAAGTCAGATATTTAAGAAGCAACTACAACTCTTTTAGGTCACAATCACTGAGGAACTACCAAAAAGATGTTAGGATCCTTAAATTATAAGTATCACCAAAGGCAAAAAGTAAACAGGAAAGGGAAAAAAAGGCTTTGTGAAAAGAATTTAAAAAACACAGCAAGAAGAAAGGAACTGGAGGGTGTCCTAGTGAGGAATGGTAAATGCCAACACATATTAAAGACTATTTACATGAACTGTTGCTAACTATAGGCCTACACTAAAAGTTCCCTAATGGTCTATGCAGGAAGTTCAGATTCAGCCAATTACAAAGTTGGAAATGGCAAACACAGGGATACCCATAAATATAGAATCACATTCAGAATATCCAAAAACCTATTTTTCCCCAGGAGAGAAAAGTGGCCTCTGGGATAGGAAGGAACCAATGGCCTTCTTCAATCAAACTTCTGTGGCCAACACTTATACTTACTCTACAACTACTTGGCAATGGATGCTGTGGTTACTGAAGCAGAAGATGCACTGTCACTACTTCTCTGGCTTGTTGCACTGCTTCCCTACAGCCAGACATTTGTTTGGGACTCTCAAAATCATTATTCCACACTGACATCCTGACAAGAATTAGCTTTCAAAAAGAAAGAGTACATCAAGTTGCCTTTCATGAAATGGAAGGTAAGTGGAGAGCAGAGACTATGTTTTTTGTTCATGTATCCCAGTTTCTAGGGCAGTGTCTGGCTGCAAATATTATCAAGGGAAATACTCATGGACCTCTTAAGAGGGGAGAGAGTAACCTCAGATCGCAAATCCAGAGGGTATTTTTCAGTTCTGCCTTTGCTTTATTCCATCAAGGCTTCCTCTCTCACTCAGAGTAAAAGCAAAGATTTTACAATGGCCTTTAAGGGTCTGTAGTAACTTGCCCTGTCTAACCTTAATTCTTCTAGTATGCTTTCCTTCATTCACTCTGCTCTAACCAGCTTGCTAGTTCTTAGCAAGCAGGCACGACCTACAAAGGGTTTTTTTTGCCCCTGCATTTTTGCCCCCATGGGAGGATGGCTCTCTCCCTCACTAGTTTCAGGTTTGTACTCAAGAGTCACCTTCAGGAAGGGCTTCCCTAACTACCAATTTACAACTGTCTTCCCTCACCTCCCCTAAACCGCCAGACTCTCCAGAGCCCTTGCTTCCTGTATTTTTATCCATAGCATTTACCACCATCTAATATTCTACACACTGGACTTACTACTTTTGTTTATTATGTCTTTATTATGTCTTCTCCAATGGTGATGATTTGTTCATCACCATTTCCCTAGTAGCTAGAACAGTGGCCTGAAGAGGAGGAAGCAGAAGAGAAGGAAATTAGAACAGGGAAGCCAGTTCCCTTCCCAACTCTTCCAATCCCAGCTCTTCCAAATTTATCCAAATTACTCTTTGTCAGGCTCCTTTTCCTCACTTTACCTCTTTTTAAGCATTCCCAGGACTCTAGTCTTCACTCTTCTCTACAGAGTCACAACATATTCTCTTGCACAAAGTCATCCAAATAGAAATTTCAATGTTTACCCAAACACAGATAACTCCCAAATTACTTCCTGGTGCCAGACCTTTTCCCTAGTTCTGGATCCCCATAATTAGCTAGCTACTAGAAAAAACCTGACCACTTAAGTTTCTCCCATCCATCAGCTTCTCTCTATTCCTACGCAGGCTGCCCCACCTGACTACCAAATCTCTTGATTAAATCACTATTGTGTGAGGCAGGACAGTGTAGTGGTTAAGAGAATAGGCCTGGCAGTAGAAAGATGTGGATTCAAGCTTCCAGCTTCCACCTGTTCCTTAGTAGAGCAGTGTGAGCCAGGACAAGTTATTTTATTTAATCTCTGAAACTTCAGTTTCCTTCCCTGTAAAATGGGATGACATTAGTGACAGTCAAAATAGCACTTTGCTTGGGGAAAAGCATTCAGGTACTCCTCAAAATATAATGGCTCTTACTTCAAAGACAGTTTAAATAATGTCAGTTTCTCCTAATTCTTGGTCCATTCTTAGTTTTATATCTCCTTCCTTCTTTATAACAGATAATGTATATTTGTATACATATATGTATGATCTCACATTCTAATGACAAAAAGGGGGAGCAAGCTGAAGAACAAATTGGGCATTTCTTTTGGAATAATTCAATTTGAGCACTATTAAGGATTAGATTTTTACTGACATTGCATTCTACACAAACTCTAGGAAGCAGTTTTTCAGTTTTATAGCTTTTAAAAAAATAATTCTTCCATGCCATTCTGTAAAATTCCATTCATGGATATTACAACATCATTCAACATCAATATATGATGTCAGCCAGAGTACTGGAGCCTGGCAGGGAAAGGAGAAAGACTGCATAAAAAAGAACTGTCTCTGCATATTGCTCATTGTTTCTTGGCAGGACTAACTCATTACAGCAAAATTAGAGCTGAAAGTGATAGGCAGTAGCCATGTGGTTCATAAGTATAGCTTGGAAATGCTCTTTCAGAAATTCAAATTCAGGGACTTGACATCTTTATTGATGCTACACAGTTAGTAAACCAAATGTGACCAAAACAGGATGATATCTCTGTTCCTGAATTTTAGAACTAACTAGTACTCAGCTGAAATACTACACTGTTAAAATCTCTGGTTAGCAAGCAATAAATAATGATCCTAAACATTATAAAAAATGCCATGTACATATTATTTACTTATGACAAGAAGAGGTTTGAGGAAGAAAAAGCTCTTAGAATTACTATTAGCATTTATTTCTGAATTAATATTAATACAAACTTAACAATTAGATTAAAATTAGAGAGGTACTGAAAGAAGCAGTCTTTGGAGTTACACAAACCTTAGTTTAAATCCAAACTTGACCCCTCTTGAGCTAATTGGGCAGGTTAAACTAAGCCTATTTCCTCTTTAACTATAAATGGAGATAATAATACCCAATAACTGACAGGGTTATTTAAGAGATTAGCGATAATACTGTATAAATTAACATTGTGAAATTGTACATATTATAAAATTACAAAAATATTGTATAATTGGCGATATTGACATATAGTTGCTCAATAAATGATTATTACTTTTCAAATATAGCTGTCTGAACAATATAGAACAAATCACTAAATAGTCATATAGTATATACTCCATATACTTGATCAATTCTTGATCATACTGACTAATCTATATGAGGTTTAAAATAGCTAATAAACCAAAAGCAATTCACTTTTTGTTTTGAAATACTTACAATTATTTTTGCAGCAAATTAACTAAGTCCAGGTGAAGACTACACATAATGGAAATAAAAGGTTGGCTATGTTCAAATTAATCTTTTAAGAATAAATTCTTTTCCCAATAGATTAATAATTTAAGAAAATGTTACAGTCCATACAACAATTATCAGAATGTATATGAGGTCCATGTCTATGTTGCTATTGTATACCCAGTCTCCATACAATGCCTGGAACATAATAAATACCTAGCAAATATTTGTTTAATTGCAGTCAACATACACCACTTAAAATCATCCCAGAGTAATGGCCCAATTATAGAAAACAACACAAAGTAGGCCGGGCACGGTGGCTCACGCCTGTAATCCTAGCACTCTAGGAGGCTGAGATGGGCAGATTGCTCAAGGTCAGGAGTTGGAAACCAGCCTGAGCAAGAGTGAGACCCCGCCTCTACTATAAATAGAAAGAAATTAATTGGCCAACTAATATATATAGAAAAAATTAGCCAGAGATGGTGCGTATACCTGTAGTCCCAGTACTAGGAGGCTGAGCAGTAGGATTGCTTGAACCCAGGAGTTTGAGGTTGCTGTGGAGCTAGGCTGGCGCCATGCACTCACTCTAGCCTGGGCAGCAGAGACTCTGTCTCAAAAAAAAAAAGAAAACAACACAAAGTAATAAACACGTATATCTGAGAAGTATTTTTAATGGAAAATTAGTCAGAAATCTTTTAGTCTTTAAAAGGGCCTTAGCAGGGCACGGTGGCTCACGCCTGTAATCCTAGCACTCTGGGAGGCCGATGCAGGAGGATCACTCAAGGTTAGGAATTTGAAACCAGCCTGACCAAGAGTGAGACCCCATCTCTACTAAAAATAGAAAGAAATTAATTGGCCAACTAAAAATATATAGAAAAAATTAGCCGGGCATGGTGGCGCATGCCTGTAGTCCCAGCTACTCGGGAGGCTGAGGCAGAAGGATTGCTTAAGGGCAGGAGTTTGAGGTTGCTGTGAGCTAGGCTAATTCCACGGCACTCTAGCTCAGGCAACAAAGTGAGACTCTGTCTCATTCATAAATGAATAAATAAATAAATAAATGGGCCTTATTAAACCACCAGCATGGACCCAGTGTGGAAAGTTAAAACTAAATCAGAAAATTAATTGAAGAAAAGTTCATCAACTGGTAGTTAAAGAGGAATATCAGACCAAATGAAAATCACCAGTGACAACCTTCAAGGTGATAATAAGGCTACAACCAACCATACAACTAAAAACAAAATATACATCATCATAAATTGAAGGAGAAAAGCCTTAAAATACCCAGAGGATCCGAAGTATTTTCCAAGAGTCTGTTCACTCTTATCATTTGCCTAATAAGGTTTGTTCTAGTTGATCAGATTCAGTTTGCTTTTACTGGTTTTCAATTGTGTGCTATGCACCGTGTAGTGGGCATTTGAAACACGCACTCAGTACGTTTTCTTTAAAGGAAAAAAAAGAAAGACACAAAGATGAGGTTCAAACCGGTGCAGAAGGAAGTCATGTGCACAGAGCTACTACTATGTTTTCCTGAAAATAAGACCTACCCATAAAATAAGCCCTAACAGGATTTCTAAGCATTTGCTCAATAGAAGCCCTACCCAGAAAATAAGACTTAGTGATGGGTGTGGCTACGCAGCCTTTCTGCACAACCCATGCATTTCATCCCAGAGCGGTAAAGATGACTATCAGCCCTTCTCATCTGCCCCATGAGAGCTCTGTTACTCGACATGAGAGATTGGAGCCAATGGTTTTAAAGGAAATAGAGTCACAAGAAATTCAGGATGGAATTCAGGGTTTGGAGAGTTATGATGATGTTCCAGAAGAAGACTTAATTATATTTGAATAAATGTAGATTGTTATACCGTACTTAAAAAAAATAACACATCCCCTGAAAATTAAGCCCTAGGGTGTCTTCTTGAGGAAAAATAAATATAAGACCCTGTCTTATTTTGGGGGAAATACGGTATATAATGCACATCTGGAACCTTGGAACCAGGACAAGAACTTGATCCTATACCCACTCTAGTCCTCTTTCCACCGTTGCACCTTCTACTAGTCTGGTTATAGACTTAGTCACCCTTCTATTTTCAAACTTTAAGTGCCAGACACTTGAATTCTCTAGTTACTTTACCTTTCTTCTCTTAAAAAAAGAAAGATTTTTTAAAAATCCCTTTCTTAAAAAAAGAAAGGGATCAGTTTTTAGCATCTTCAGTTTTACCAGGTACTGTATGTGCAATGCTAAAAACAAGCTCTCATAAAAATCCATGTGCACCTTAAAAAGGCTAGTGAAATATTTTAAAGACATAGATCTAAAATTCTCATTGGAACAACGAAGCTAACGTTACGTCTGCTAGTTTCCCAAGCTACCCGTAACTCTGAAATGAGCAGCAACTGAGTGACGGTTTCGGCTTTTGCAAAACACCGAGAGTCAAATTCAGTGGCTCTTCCTCCTAATAGGCTCCCAAGCGACCTGAAAATGTTACTCAATTCCTCTGGTCTTGATTTATGTTTTTTCTCCCTCCCAAAGTTGACGTTTAACTTTAATGCTGGAAAAGTAATTTGATGATATTGTGATGTCATTTCCTTAAGTCTTTAAATTTGTAACGGAATCATAAACTATTCGTTCCTTCTCAAAATAAATGTCTTGTCACACACAAGAGGTATGGAATTTAATAAGTTCGATCGAAGAAAGTTCCATCTCATCTTTTAAATTGCGGAATAACATTTTCCCCTTCTCCATAACTCCTCCATTAAGCTGATCATGGAACTTAACGCCGAAAGTGTGAAGCACAGACACGGAAATACCCAATCTAAATGACCGGACGCGGAGACAAGAGAGTGACAGTGATCTTGGCTCCTCCAAAACTTGCATCAGGAATCTGTGACACGGGACGATGAAACGTGAGCAAAGGAAAGCTTACACAACATCATAATGTTCATTTGAGGGCCCGCCCGCTTTCCGGCATAGGAAGCGACGGACAGCTGAAAAGCCCCCAAAGATAAAGCGCTTCCAATTCTGCCTCCTCAAAAAAAAAAAAAAGGAAAGGAAGAGAGCCTACAGCTAACAGGGCGCTGACCAATTTTCCCGGACTTATCCTCAAGCACCCCGAGGTTCTGAAAAAGAGACCCCTGCTCCCGTAGGTACGGGAGGCCTCCGCACCTCCCTCGGCCCGAGCCGCCGCTGCCCTCCCAGCCCAGGCCCCGCCAGGTCCCCTCGGTACGGGGCCAGGCCCCCACCCGGCCAGTCCCCAGTCCTAGTCAGGCCCGGCGAGCCCTCGACGCCTCTGCCGGGTCAGCCCAGGCCAGCGGCAAATGGCTCTCCGCACCCGCCTACCTTGGTCGTCCGGATGTGCTCCATCCCGAGGAGACGTGTGCCGGCAGCCGGCCTCAAGGGAGGACCATGGGGCTACAGAAGCCTGGCGGCGACAGCGACCCACAGCCACAGCCAGCGGGAACTCGCTCCCTGGGCCAGCGCCTCGGGTCCGTCAGCCCGCCCCCGGTAGCGTCAACCACGCAGGCGCGGCCGGCTACCGCCGTCTCCTAGAAACACTTCCCCAAACCGGAGGCCGCCGAGATGACGCGGCGGGCTGGTGGGCAGAGCGTCCACCGACGGAGAGCGGCGGCCTGGTTTCGTCCGGGGCCGCCGCGGACTCCACAGCGCCTCCCGCTGGTGGAGGGCTGGTATGGCTCGTCAACGCCCTCCCCCCGCATCCCAGCAAGGCGGGCCTTTGTGGTCCTGCTAGACACGTCTCCGCCCAGGAGAGGCGCGGGGCGGTCAGGAGAAGACACCTCCCTGCGTGAGAATAGATCCTGAGCAAAGGGCTCTTGGCAGGTGAGGGCAAGGTTGGGTGCTCTGGAGTCCATCACCAGATTGGTGGACAGCACCAAACTTAGTTTGAGCTGCAATTTTACAAGAATTTATTCCAAGGAAATAATCAGATATATTTAGTGCAGCTTTATTAGAAATAATCAGATTCTCCCACACTAGAGGATTAGTTGTGTAAAGTATGATGCTTTCATACAATGTTAGCACCAGCATCTATTAAAACTCATCCTGTAGAGGGATATCACGTAACAAAAATGTCGATGCTGTATTACTGAGTGGAAAAAAACAACAACAACTGGCTATTGAACACTAAGTTTAATGTGACAGTGCTTTGTAATCTTTATGTAAACAAAAAGTTTACATTTCTAGAAGGTAGGACTACAGGTGATTTTTGTAATTCCTCTCTTGCACTAAATAATTGTCAGCCTGGAGCATATTTTCTCCCTGGGGGACATTGGAGACATTTTTGGTTGGAAACATTTTTGGTTGTTCCTACTTGGAGCTGGGGGTGCTCCTGGCACCTAGTGTGTAGAGGGTTAGGGCGGCTGCTGAACTTCCTACCCGCCCCCCACAACAAGGAATTATCCAGCCCAAGATGTCAACAATGCAGAGGTACAGAAAGCCAGCTGTTTTCTGAGGATTCTGTACTAAGTTCACATTTGTAATTAGAACATGTTTTCAAAAGGAAGGAAGGAAACTATTATATCATCTTTCTTAGTATCGTCAGTGTTAGAAAAACCTAGCATCTAACTTTTCTAATTAAAAATTTTGCTTCATTTTATTCAAGTTATCTTGGTATTCTTTTGTTTTTGTTTGAGTGCCTGCTATGTTTCAGACAGATCGCCAAAGCAATGGAGAAAACACACTTTTTGGTGGACTTGCTGACTACTGCAAGGTAAATACGTAGTAAAAATAAGATTGAACCACCCAGAAACCAGTCTTGGTACAGTACAGACCCATCCCCTGCCCCCCAAAAAAACCACAAAACCTAGGCCGGGCTCGGTGGCTCACGCCTGTAATCCTAGCACTCTGGGAGGCCAATGCGGGCCGATTGCTCAAGGTCAGGAGTTTGAAACCAGCCTGAGCAAGAGCGAGACCCTGTCTCTACTATAAATAGAAAGAAATTAATTGGCCAACTAATAATATAGAAAAATAGCCGGGCATGGTGGTGCATGCCTGTAGTCCCAGCTACTTGGCTGAGGCAGCTCAAGCTACTTGCTTGAGCCCAGGAGTTTGAGGTTGCTGTGAGCTAGGCTGACGCCATAGCACTCACTGTAGCCTGGGCAACATAGTGAGACTCTGTCTCAAAAAAAAAACAACAAAAAAAAACCACAAAACCTGCTGGGGGGTGGTGGGGGGAAACAAAACAAAACACATAACAAAAAAATGCTGAAAAAATATGTAGGTCTTAACTGAAGATTTTTTGAGAAAATGGAAAAAGGTGAATTATATTGCATAACATTCAGCAAGACATGCTTAATAAAACCTCTTTCTATATCATTTCTCCCCCAAACTTATATCTTCTTCATTCCCTGTTCCCATACAGCTCTTCCTCCCTCTTCTCATCTCTTCTATTTCTCATTTTCTCCCTTAACCAATTCTCAAAGAGAGGTAATCATAATGACATTAAATGACAAAAGTGTACCAAGTGCTTTACCTGTATTATGAGGAAAATACTATTATTTCCCTCATTTTAAAGATGAGAAAAGTGAAACACAATAAAGTAACTTGTCTAATATCACACAGCAGATAAAGCCAAGAAACATCTATGATATAAAGCAAGACAGTGTGACTCCACAGACTGTATTCCTGACAACTATTCTATGTTGATTTGCTTTTTCAAAATCCACATTAAAGTTACATATATGGTAATGTAATAGGCTAATAAATCACCCTGCTTTTTATTTTTTTTTCTTTTTGTTTTTTCTTTCTCTTCTTTTTCTATTTCACCCTGCTTTTTAAAAAAAAAACTAAAATAATGGACAAAATATAAAATCAAATTCTGTACGGCATCAAATAACTGACAAGATAGTGAGAACTTACAAGTGCAAAATATAAAGGAAAGTACATATTCAGAGAGTTAAGCAGGACATTGAAGTTGATCTTGCAAGAGAGCTGTTTCCACATCAAGGAAATTTAGTATCTCTTTTGATGCCCTTTCAAGGCAAAAAGTTCAGAAGTCTAAGTCTAGGGCCCACCTCAGATGAGGAATTCAATGGTGGACCCTACGTATGTAAAGCCAAAGCTACAAGGAAACTCAACCAATACAACTGCCAGAAGACTAAAAGGAAATATGGCTTGATACTGAGAAATTGAGCGGGGTGGACAGGAATAATTCCCTGTCTTGGAGATATTACAACCATGAAAAGGTCAGACAGATTTTCAGCCTAGATTAATATCACCCATGGGATCCACAAAACTTCAAGCTCTGAATATTGTTTAAAGTGGTCTGGATTAGCAGTGCCTAGGAACTTTATTGTAGCAAACACAAATCCTTTTTGGTGAAATGCACCTCTATATTATGCCTCAAATCATTCTTATAATTAATTGTCAAAGGAAAATTAAAGTCATGATAAAAATAACTAGCTCCTGGCCAGGCGCGGTGGCTCACGCCTGTCATCCTAGCACTCTGGGAGGCCATCGCGGGAAGATGGCTCAAGGTTAGGAGTTCAAAACCAACCTGAGCAAGAGAGAGACCCCATCTCTACTAAAAATAGGAAGAAATTAATTGGCCAACTAAAAATATATAGAAAAAATTAGCCAGGCACGGTGGCACATGCCTGTAGTCCCAGCTACTCGGGAGGCTGAGGCAGGAGGATTGCTTGAGCCCAGGAGTTTGAGGTTGCTGTGAGCTAGGCTGACACCAAGGCACTCTAGCCTGGGCAACACAGTGAGTCTCTGTCTCAAAAAAAAAAAAAAAAGAAAGAAAAAAAGAAAGAAAAAGAAAAAGAAAAATAACTAGCTCCTAAGAAAACAGTTCTGAAGACATAATTGAACAGAACAACATGATGGCAATAAGAAATTTTTTAATTATCAGGCTTGGTGTATTAAAAAAAATATGTTCATTATGTTTAAAGAACTAAAAGACAATGAAAATATCTGCAGTGTATGGAAAATTATTTTTAAATGACCTAGCAGATATGAAAAAGAATCATATAGAATTTCTACAAATGAAAATACAGAATTAAAATGGAAATTTCCTTGGCTGGATTTAACAAATTGGATAAGGTAGAAGAAAGAATAATAAAACTGGAAGTTACTGAGAGAAAATTATCTGGAAAGCAACACAGAGAGATAAAGAGTATGAATATGAAAGAGAGGTTAAGAGAAATGGTGTATAGAGTAAAAACATCTAACATAAATCTAATCACAGTTTCATAAGAATAGGAGGGAGAGAGATACTGGGACCGAGATAATATTTGAAGACCTAGTGCCTGAGATTTTTCAGAATGCACAGAAGATGCTAATCCACAGAACAAAAGAAGTCCAACAGATTCTAAGTGGGATAGATGAAAGGAAACCCATATCTAGATACATCATGGTACACTACAGACTCAGTGTGTTAGTTTCACTATGGCAATACCAAAGACAAAAATGAGAGTCTTAAAAGCATCCAAAGTAAAAGAAGAATAAATTATCTCCAATAGATCAACAATTAAACTGACAGCTGACTTTTCATCAACAACATGGAAGACATGTAAAATTAGAATGATATCTCCAATATGCTGAAAGAAAACAACTGCCAATATAGAATTCTTTTCCCAGCAGAAACATCTTTTAAGAAATGAGAGTGTGTGGGGGGAAACATATACTTTCAAACAAAACCCAAAGACTGAGAGAGTTTGTCATGATCCATATTTAAGAAAATTCTACAAGTATACTCCAGGATAAGGAAAGTGATTACAGATGGAAGGCCTAAGATACAAAAGAAATGAAGATTTTTTTAGATGTAAAGAAATGAGTAAGTGTAAGCAGACATTGAATGACTGCATAAAACAATAATAAAGTTTTATAAGGTTAAGATAAAAAAGCATTCAAATATACGAGTCAGGGATCAGATAAAGTGTTCTAGGATCCTTGTATAGTCCTAGAAGAAGAGTGTTGATTAATTTTAACCTTTAAAAGGTTATGTTTATATGTTTTAATTTCTAGTTTAGCTGCTAAATTAATAGAAACAGCATGTAAGTTCCAAATTAGTAGAAGGGAGAAATGGAATTTTTAAAAATTATGTTTGTTACAGGATAAAAAGAGTATCAGATGACAATGAATAAATTTAACAAATATATGTAAGATCTTTATATAGCATGTTATAAAAGTACATAGATAAATCACACACACACACACACACACACATACTCAAGAAGACCTCAATAAACAGAGATATGTACTACATTTGTGAATTAGAAAACTCTATTTTAAAATGTGTCAATTTTTCCCAAACTGATTTCTGTATAAATTCAATGTATTCCCAATCCATATCCTAACAGACGTGGTATATGTGTGTATTATGGTAAGAGAAGTTGTCAGTGTGTGTGTGTTATGTATGTGTGATAAGCTAATTCTACTGATTCTACATTCTAATATCTAAAAAATGTAAATTATCTTGAGGAAGAGCAAGAAGGCAAGATTTGTTTAAAGGGATATCAAGACTCATAAATCTACAGTAATTGAAATGGTGTGTTGCAAGGACAGGCAAATAGGCTACTGGAACAGGAACGAGAATGCAGAAATAGAACCACATATAAATGGATATTTGATTTATAAAAATGTGGTATTGCAGATTGGGGGGAGAAATACTCTTTTCA